AACTAAAAAGTTAAGGACTTTTTAAAAAGACACAAGAAAATGTGGATGTACATTATGTATAAAGGGAAAATAGAAAAAGAAGGAAGTACAAGGGAAGGGGAGGAAAAAGAAAAACAGAATGTGGGTGAAGAGAGTAAGAAGCAACAGAAGAGGAAAGAGGATAAAGAGAAAAGGTTCAACAAATAAACATCGATAAATTTGTTCTGTCCTATAAACTTGGTACAAATATATTTTTGTAAGTATTATAGATTTTAAAAGTTAAGCAAGGTAGTTCAATAAGAGATTAAATATTCTAAAATATCTCTGTAAGTAAGACTAAGACAAATACTTCTCACCTTGACGAAGGTAGTAAATCACCAAGTTTAGCCTCGCTTCGGGAATGACATCAACCAGGGGAGGTAAAACCTGCAAAGCGCCTTCCCCTCCTCGGAAAACAACCTAGAGACAGAGAGATTGTGTTATTATCACAATAAGTATATATACATTTATCGGTGAAAATATTTAAGGAGCTGCCACATATAATTGGGTTCATGATATCCAACAAAATAGCTCTGGGAATCAGTTAACATACTGAGGACTTTTATCATTGGCTAAATTTATCATTGCCTAACTAATCCCCGTGCTTCTTACCCTCTCTTCTTTTCCCTTCTCTCTGCTTTTCCCTTCTCTCTGCCTGTCATATTTAAATATTTCATTCTTCACCCTATCTAAAGCCTACCTCCACTATCACTCTCTATAACCTTATCCTTCTTTATTTTTATTTATACCACTTATCACTTCATTTCATTACACAATTCTTTGTTCATCTGTTTATCTGTTTGCACACTAGGATATAAGCTCTATGTGAAAAAGAATTTTGCATTTACTGTGTACTTCCAGCCCCTAGAACTGTGACTAGAATAGTCAGCACTCAGTTATTTTTTGAAAGGATAAACATATTTTGAAATTGTCCACATACACATGACCTTGACCTCATTGAAAGAAAGCCATTATCTAAATTATAATAAGTATAAGAAAGAGAACAAAGGCATAACTCATTGCATACATTTCCTTTTCTCTTCATAAGAATTGCAGAAAAACTCTTAAAGTACCCAATAATTAAACTTTTTTCTAGACAGACATTCTACATCAAAAATTCCATGAAGTAATTTATATAACCTTTCTGAACCTGTTTCCTGATCTCTAAATGGCATTAGTAATATCTACCTTTCAGTTATTATGAGGATTAAATGAGTTAAAGTGTACTAAACGTGTGGCACATAGTAGGTAGTATTTCATTTAATTAATTCAGTAAATATTCATTAGCACCTACTATAAGCCTGCTTACTGTAACAAGCAGTGGGGTTATAGCAGGAACAAGTCACTTTGTCACCATATAGACTATTCAAGTGGGGAGAGACCTTCAAAAAGCAAATAAATATGTTGTCAGGTCATAATAAGTGCTATAGAGAAAAGCTTAAAAACCAAAAGAACAGACATCCCACCCACAAAAGGATAATTTGTTTTGCGCACTGTTGTATTTCTAGTGCCTAGCATAGTGTCCGACATATAACAAGTTGTTTCACAAACGAATCTATAGAAATCAAGGCCCTCAAGCATGAACTACCTAATCTCTTCTTTCCACCTCAAAATATCTATTTGGTTGTCTTTTTTGGTTCCTCTTTGAGATGTTCCCCCCCCCCCTTTTTTTTTTAGCCAAAATTAATCCCTTTTCCTGTCTTCTTGATTCCATGACTTCTAATCCCATCTGAACCTTGTTTCTCTATTAATCATTCTCTCTTCAATCTTCCTGAAGCCCTGGCCTTACTTCTCAAATTTAAACATACACAAAGGTGGTTGTTCTCTCAAAAAATCTACTTGGCCCTGATGTTCCCTCTGGATAATGCCCTCTCCTTCTGTTTTCTTTCAATGCCACACTTCCAAAGTATGTGGCTTACTGCTTCTACTTTCTTCTCATCCTCTTACTCCTTAACCTCCTAAAATATTTATTTCTGTTCTCAGCATACTAGTAAACTTTCTCTCACAAGTCACAAACTAACTCCTTTAGCCAAATTCAAAGGACTTTTCTGTCCTCTTGCTCCATGACATGTCTGCAATTTTGACACTGAGGGCCATAAGATGACAATAAGAATAACAGCACCATTTACTAAATGTTTACTATTTGCTAGATACTGTGCAAAGCACTGTACACATACTACCTCATTTAATCCTCACAGACAAGTAAGATAGGTACTTTAATTTTCCCTATCCTACATATGATACTCAATACTGAGTGAGACTCAGCAATGTTAAGTGACTTACCCAAAGATATAAAGCTAGTACACAGCAGAGCTTGATTTTGACCTTAAATCTGACTTCAAAAGTTGATGTTCTTAACCTTTTATGTTGCCCCAATCTTTTTAAGTTGTTTTTTTTTTTTTTTTAACAAAATTACAAAAGTAATATGTATTCACTGGAAAAAAAACTTAAATACAGTATTTTACAAAAGGAAAAAGGAAATTTTCCATATTCTCACTTGTCTCTCTAATCCACCTGTCCAAGGATAATCCCTAATTTACTATCTGATATGTTCCTTCAGTCACCTACACATCTACAGTCATCCAGGAACCCCTGTGGACACCAAAATCCAAGGATGCTCAAGTCCCCGAGTTGGCCCTGTGGAACTCACGGATATCAAAAGTTGGCCTTTTGTGTAAGCGGGTTCCAAATTGAAACTGATTTGGAAACTGCATAATTCAATCCATGGTTGATTGACTCTACAGGTGTGGAACCTCTGGATACAGAGGGCTGGCTGTATTTACTGAAAAAAAACCCATGCATAAGTGGACCGTGCAATGCAAACCCATGTTGTTCAACGATCAACTGTATAAGGGTACATCAAAAAGTTCATGGAAAAATAGAATTAAAAGAAAATAAAAATCTTTCCATGAACTTTCCATACAGTCGTTCTTTACTTTGGCTGTACAATACATACACTTGAGAAGCTTTTAAAAAAATACTGATAGCTGGGCTCCAGCCCAACCATTAAATAAGAATCCCTGGGGCTAGAGCCCATGCATCATTAGTTTCAAAAGCCTCCCAGGTGATTAAAATGTGTAATTGTAAATGACATGACATTATCTGGGTGCTCCTCCTTGTCTGCCCGTTTCTTGTCTTGTTGGCTGATTCTCCTTCCTCCAGCCCCTAAATACAGATGCTCTTTTGGAGCCTTATTTTTCTCTGTTTTTAATCCTTCCATATTTAACTGTCAGGATTTCAGCAGTTGAAAATCTTCCATACTTAACTGTCAAGACTCTTACAATAACTCCTAAACTTATCCTCAAATCTTGATCTCTCTCCAGGCTTAAATTCCAGATTACTATCTCTGATGCATCATTCATCACAAAAAGTAATCTGGCTTCAATTTATAAACTAGATTAGAAATGAGAAGAATGGAGGCAGAGCCCATAATAGAAACTATCCAAATAAAACTGTAGGCCTGAATTAGAGAAGGAATGGAATAAATATAAGACATTGTGGAGAAAGAATTCCTAGGATTTAGTGATAGTAGATACTGGAGATAAGGGGAAGGAGAGATTCTAAAACATCTGTGGTTTTCAGCATGGGTACTTGGAGAATTGGTACTAAAGAAAGGAATAGAGAAATCAGAAGGAAAAGTGCAGTTATTATCACCATTTTTAGATGAGAAATCTGAGAATCAGCAATATCAAATAATCTGCTCAGTATTCCCAGAAGTCTGAATCGAAAGAAAGTGTTCTGCATCTCACTATACTGCATGGTCAATAGAATCAAACTAAATCCAATCTGAGCTTTATTTATTTATTTTTTAGCAATGGACTTCATAATCTAGCGCTGAACCTAACCACCCTGATCCAACTTCACTTTCCCTACTACTTACTGTTCCAATAAAATCAACCTGCTCATAATCTTTCATGTCATCCTCCTTCTAGCTGCATGTCGTTGATGGGAATGAACCCTCTAAATCTCAGCCATCCTTCAAAGACCAGAAGATCTTTGCTCTAACCTGCAAGGATATGTTCCTTTGTTTTCGCCAAAAGTTCAAACACTTGCATCTACACAATCTTGAGCTTTTTTTTGGGGGGGGGGGTAGCTGGGCAGTGCAAGGATCGAACCCTGAACCTTGGTGTTATTAGCACCACGTTCTAACCAACTGAGCTAACAGGCCAGCCCCTTGTGCATCTTTCCAAATGTTTTATATATTTCTGCCCTCCCAACAAGATTTCCTTGAGGAAAGGGACAAATATTTTAAACTCATTTTCTTTCCTCCACAGCAAGGAGGCATTCCCTTGGAGGGGAGCAATATTTGCTGGGGCATCTCCTTTTATTCATCTTTCTAATTGCTGTGATGTACCAAAGTAGAGTAGGACTGAAGTCAGTCAAGACGGGAAACCGTTATTCACCAGATTGTGCCTGATGAGTTCTTTAGCAAATTCAAAGGATGAAGAAGCGTTGTCCATCAAGCTTTTGAGTTCTGCCTGAAATTTAAAAAGGAAAGGCTTATGAAAATGACAAGGGTATGGCTCTTATACCACATGTTTATACGATGCTTTATAGTTTACAAGGAATTTAACATGCTATTTCATTTGATCTTCATGACTCTAAGTCAATGTAATTATTACTATCCACATTTTACATATAAGAACAATGAGGCTTATGAAAGTTAAGTGATTTGAACCTTAAAATAAGCAGCAAGTTTGAACACTGGTGCACTCAAGTCTGGACTCCTGCAGTCTTTTCTTTCAGTGCCAAGGTGGTAAAGGAGCTAAGTAAGCCTTTAACAACTAAGGTCGATTCTTTAATCTGACCATTTCACCTATATCCTGAATTCTCATAATTCCTCCATCCTGCTGAACTGCCATTTATTTACACAATACAATTCTAGTAACTTCTCCCTTCTATTTTATTATTTATTAGGTCTACCATATCTCTTTCATACTCTCCTGCCCTCTTAACTCAACTTAATGGTCAGCCATCTCCACAATGTCTTCACTAACACTGGACTCACCTACCCCCTTCTCCTCAGTTTTTTGATATTCCTACCTTGTCAACCCATAATTCTGAGTATTCCTCCTCTCATCTTTTTTCTACTTCCATCAGTGGGTAAGCTAAGCTTTTCTGGATAAGGTCATTGAATTCTTGGTTGTTTTCGTTAACCACTACAAATTTGTTTCGTCCGTCAGCTGGGAGTGAATGTCTGCTCAGCAATCCTTTTATTACTCTTGTCTTCGTCCACAGCAGCAGTTCTGAAGTTGTGGGTAATATTAGGCTTGAGCAGCAGTTTTTCAAGCTTTTTGGTCTCAAGATACCTTTTATACTCTTAAAAACTATTAAGGATCCCAAAGATCTCTTGTTTATATGGGCAATAGATGTCAATATTTATCATATTAGAATATAAGACAAATTTTAAAGTATTCAACTAATAAAAAGTAACAATAATAAACCTATTACATAAATATTTAACATAA